ATTTTATTTATTTTAACTTTTTTTATATTATTTGCTTTTTTTTTTTGTTTAACATTACTGTCAGGGGGCTTTGGGGGAAATATCAGGAGTCTAAACAGACCTCAATCTCCTTCTCTGCAGCCCCAGCACTCACTAAACAGGAAGCACTCAGTACAGAGGCTTCCTGTTCATTCACAAACTGAGGGGACATAGTTTGTTTACCATCTCCTCAGTTATGAATGGACAGGAGAGCCTCTGTTATGAGCATCTCCTGACCATTCATAAACTGAGGAGATAGTAAGTGTTACTATTTTCCCACTCATGAATGAACAGGAAGTGATGTTTAACACTTCCTGTTCATTCATAACTGGGGATATAGTAAGTGCTTACTATATCCCCAGTTATGAACCAACATTGGAGTTATCAGTACCGGTGTATGTTCCATAAAAGGGAAGGATTGGCAAATATTTCACATATTTGCCAACCCTCCACTCGGCATCCTGAAATGCTCCACCCACCTGTCACTGATGCTCCCCGCAACTTTCTCCTTCCAACCAGCAGGTGAATCAACACTGTCTTACCTCTTATCCCTGCCGAAATAGGCGGGTGCCAGCAGCAGGCATCAAAGGGGACACAGACTGGATCATGCAGTCGGCGCCCAGTGGGGAGGAGAGAGCTGCAGAGTGGCAGGGGAAAGGAGAGGGGGGGGGGGGGGGGGGGGGGGGGGGAGCTTTGACTGTCAGCCATTCATATACACAGAACAGTTAGAGGGACCATTGTGCTATATACTTATGGTTACTGAAGCAACCATGAGCGTATAGCAGAAGGTAAATGCAGCCGAAGTAAGGCACACTGAACTGGCCAGCTTGGAACATTTTTGTTCCGCCACAAACCCTAACCCTAAGGGTTTAAGTAGAATTAAAGTCTTAATTTATTTTACACATATCTACTGCTAGCAAGCAGTAGATATATGCAAATAACATTTAAAAAAATAAAAAAGCTACCAATTAGGTAAATACTTACCTCTGTTGCCGCTGTTTACTCCCATCTGCAGCATCCACCTTCACTGAACGGCCGTGCATGAAGATCTGGGCGTGTGCATGTGCAGTGGAGATCACTGGCGGGGAGAAGGAGAGCCTCAATAGAAGTCAATGCACACAGCCAAGAGCGTGCATGGTGGACAGACACTGTGGAGTCTGCGCTGGATCAGAGACCGGCACCAGAGAGAGTTGAGGCTCAAACTGTTTAATTCAGTGAAACTGTGTAAGAAGCACAGTGCCAGGAGAAGTACCCAAAGCAAGCAACCCGAACCCATCTTGTAGTACTGTTATATGAGTAACTGGTTGCCATGGAACCCTGCACACTACATTACTCTAAAAGACTTTGGGGGGAATTTATCACAACTAGAGCAGACAAAATGTTGAGCAGTTGCCCATAGCAACCAGTCAGCTTCTCTCTTCAGTTTTGAAAATGAAAGGCAGAAGCTGATTGGTTGCCATGTGCAACTGCTCTAGATTCTGTCTACTCCAGTTATAATAAATCCCCTTATTTTTCTCTACACCACTTACTGAATAAGTCCATTAGAGACAACTGCAGTATAAGACCCTTAGCCTTTAGGATACAGCAGAAGCTCTATGTACATGGAGGCCTAGACAAATAACAAAGACTGGCTAAGGATACGATTTTACAAGCAGGCAAAGACCAATATAAAACGTATTGAAAAATCTGTTTTTTATTTCAACTCCTCGTTTATTGTAAGACATCTTCAAATGTTTGTCATAATGAGCCTTGCATCCATAACCAATGTCAATGTGCTGGCTCTGTTACTGTTTGTAGGAGATGCGTGTTTCTACCATTTTTATGAAAATGCCATAGAAATAAAGTAATTTTTGGAGAATTCATCAAAGGTTTCATTGCCTAGATCAGCTGAACTAACCACACATGTTAACTGTTGCAGAATTGTGAATGTGGAAGTCAAACACAAAGATTATCACTCCATAAAATACGGCTGTCAAACTGACCAACAATAATTGGGAGGTTCTAGGAGGTGACTGGTGTAGCAGAAAAACGAGCGGTTTCTGATGCAGATTAATAAGAAATAACGGCTTTTATTTGGGTACTAATTACTAATTAGCGCAAAGAAATAATGAGGTGAATTTATCTAAACTGGAGCGGACATAATCTGAAGAAGCGGTGCATAGCAACCAATCAGCTTCTCTCTTTCATGTTCAAATACCTCAACAAACGGAAGAGAGAAGCAGATTGGATGCTATGGGCAACTGCACTAGATTCTGTCTGCTTCAGTTTTGAGAAATTCCCCCCACTGACATATTTACATGTCAGTTGGATTTGTTTTTGAGAAAATGGAGAAGGAAATAAAACTCCTAGGTGGCATGGAGATATCCTAAGGTCTTTTCTGAAGATATTCTATAATGTACTAAAAGACTGTGCCACCGCTAACTAAAAACACGTTTTCCCACAAGTTTAATTGCTGATTAATACAGAAACAGTAAAACAAAGTGCATTTCCAGCCATAACTTTTCTTTTTCTTAGTTTGGGATAGAGTCCGGAAGGGTTAGAATTCCATAAGGTTTTGGGGTTCTCTTTTAGCCTTACTTCCTGTCCTGATGACAACATTTTAGCAGACAAGATGTGAGGTAACTCTCCAACAGCAACACACAAATACAAATGTTATTCTTCAATTAGGGAAGGCTGGAAACCCAGTCAGATCTGTATTTCTTAATCCTCCTGTCCCATCGCACTCCTGACCGGACAAAAACCCAAATCCAACTGGGTGGGTGCGGTAGTGACAACGGATGCCTCCGTGAAATGTAGATAGATGAAAGTAGTCACTCGCACTCCATGATATTAAAGTCAATGCTGTTTATTGACTGAGATAACACACAGCTCCTTAGCAACGTTTCGACACCATGCGGTCCCGTCCTCAGGCAAACAGAGAGGATGGGACCTGTTTGCCTGAGGACGGGACCGCATGGTCTCGAAACGTTGCTAAGGAGCTGTGTGTTATCTCAGTCAATAAACAGCATTGACTTTAATATCATGGAGTGCGAGTGACTACTTTCATAGATCTGTATTTCTGTCTGTGTCCTTCTTGTAGATTTTCCCTTTACCTTACCTTCTTCTCTATGCATCCTCACCACACTATTTGCCACCAGGGGTGAGCAGAAGACAAACTTATGTGAGCTCAAAGTCAATCTCGTCAGATCTTACACAGGACTGAAGACTCCCTCCTCATCCATCATGTAAACTGCCAAGTCCCCACACTGTGTCACGGAAGAAGAGTCGGTCACATGACCCCATAGCTGGAGGTATCAGGTATTCTCTTCACTCCCAGCAACTTAACACAACATCAGGGGTGCAAAGTAAAAGGTGAGTATTAGCATTAAAATGAACCTCTTGCTTTGGCCTGCATGGGCAAAGCACAGCTTCGCCTTACACACCCCATGTGTCAAACGTAGAGAAGCATCATAATGATGCAATCTTTCTCCTCTTATCTCAGGGAAAGTCTACAGGTCACTTAAGCCCTATAATGATTCACTTAACAGAGAACACTTTCCATGTGGCTTATCCAGCAGTTGATTTCCTCTCTAGCCTTTCTGTAAGGCCACTAGTGCTGCGCTCACTAGTTCTGCTGAGTATAAATAACGTTTTTAGCTGTAAGGGAAAAAAAAGTTTGTGCCTGCAGATCCTGTGGCTGGTCAGTGGGAGGGGTTTAGGCACGGCAGGGCAGCCTGTGATTGGCTGGAGACAAAGGTCCCTGAGCTAGCTCTGCAGACACCTTGTGATGCGTGCCGGGGGGAGCCGATAGAAGACGCCTGTGGAGAGTGCAGGGAGGGTGAGTGGCACACTTCCGAATGTTGGCTGCTTGCTGAGCTGTGGAGGGGAGCTCCCTGCAATTCATCTCACACAAATAGAAGGTACCTCCCTGAAATGAGAAGGGCACCTCCCTGAAATAAGGTTTTGCAGGTTGGGATGTCTGCCTTGATTTGATTCAAAACCAGTTTGCCTGAATTTGCCCATTCCCAGCCCCTCTGTGACATATAGCTGTGGGGTGGGTAATGAGCCTTTCAGCAACTGATTGGGTCCGGAGGAGGGAGTGGCAGTCATGTGGTTCACACAAAGCCTAGGTTCTTCACTAGAGTGTACTTGGCAAGTACTGTACTTCTACCAATGGAGCAGTGTTTCCTCGATACTCAGTGTCCCCCTGCATTTCATTTTTTTTAAACTTCTAGGTACAATGGCTTTGTCCATCAACAAACAGTGAAAAGAAAGCATGCAATACTGATGCCCACCAAGCTCTGGGACTGAGAGACAGATCAACCATAGATGGAATAACCTCTAGCACACATCACAGAGCCACAGATACATTGTTCAGTAACAGCTCAAAATACATACTGGAAAAACACACTAGAGATTTCCTTTACAGTAGTATGAAACAAACTTTTTTTTTCAAAAATGTAGATCAGAAAGATATATATATATATATATATATTGCCCAGCAAAAGCATTTCTTTACATTTTTGCCCGAGCACTTACAGCCATCACGTTTCCAAACAGTTCCAACCCTCTCATCTCCACTTCCTGTCCTGTACAAGATCACAAGGGGCAAAGCAGTCTCCAGCTTTGTCCATCTACTAGCATGGAGAAGCAGAATTGGAGAGGAGGGAGCAAGAAAGGATTGCCTTGCTGTGTCTGTGTGTTTATTGAGACACACAAACTAGCACACACAAGGGTGGCTCCATAGGATCCTGCAAGGCAAAGGAGCCACCCTAGAACAGGATATCAGGACCAGTGCTCAGGAGGCCAGCCGATTCTGCAGGACACAAACTTTTAAACATCAAGGAGCAGCATCAACTGTAAGTGATTTATTCAGCATTTAAAATAGCTTTAAAAAAGTTTGACTTTAATATCACTTTAATATGAGATTGCTTGAACTCGTACGGAGTTGAAACAAGTATAAGCTCAGTTGTCTATAGATTTAAAATTGGAGATATGTGTACCTTTATCTTAGGAGCTGTGGGCCTTCTCGAGGTGGAATTCTGATGAGAGAAAATAAGCGGTGCACTAAGTCTGGTTCCAGCAGACTCTAGAGCCTTCAGCAGGATTTCCTTCAGTCCTTTATAATTTGGCTTCACACTGTACAGTAAAGTTCTGACTTCAGCCATAAACTTGGCTACATCATCTGAAGATGCATAAAACAGATTTAGGGATTTAATAGGTGCACAGAAATATAGGACCCGAAAAAAAACACGTATTTTCAAGTCTTGTTTTGCATGTTTGCCTTTTGTCAATCTAAGACAAAACCTTTAAAATAAACGGCAACAGAGAAAATATTTGTATCTTTTTGCCCCAGGCCTGTCATTTGGTAGTAGACGGAACAATGCAGATAAGGACACATGAGAGATATAGACTTTCTTTTTCTATAAAGTTTGGCAATGGAGCAGCCCGCGGCAACACACGGGCACTTTAAGTAGCATTCGCAGCCCATTCATTTTGAAAAGGATGCCTTAAGACAACGCACATTAACAGGCCACAGAAAAACTGTCACATGACAATAAACAAAAATGTATCAGTACTTGTAAAAATTGTATCAGTGCATCCCTTTATATTTATAAAAACAAAATCATACATTAAAACAGAGATGTACGAATCCCAGGAGCTCCGTATGCTCCTTACAAATGACAGCTGCCTCCTAACTTTTGAGTTTTTCTCTAGTCTAGTCTTGGAGCTGGAAAAATATCTGTACTTGTACCGAGTACTGTACTTGATATCGGTGCATCCCTAATTTTAACACACCACAAAAAAGTAAATGGCCTCTTATTGTTCTTATTGTTAGCGCATTGGAAGGATTTAGAAGAAAATTGCTGGGTCCTGGTCTCACTAAGGTTGAGAACCAATGGATGAAAATACATCAAGAATTACTAGAAGAATTGGGGGAAAAGACAATTTGGGATCTCGTACCGAGTTGCTTTACTGCAAAAAAAAAAAAGGTTTATATTTAGAAAAAAGTATTCAAATGCAAAATATGTATTATCATACTTCTATTGTATAAACTTTTTTTTTCACTCACCATACTGTTGCGGACTACTCATCCATCTTAGTAAACTAAGGTTATCACGTTTAATAAATGTCACTTTAAACCAGGGGTAGGCAAACTCCAGCCTTGCTGCTGTGGTGAAACCACAAATCCCATCATGCATCTGTCTATGGGAGTCGTGCCTGTGCATCTGTCTATGGGAGTCGTGCCTGTGATTGTCAGAGTCTGGCAATGTCTAATGAGATTTGTACAGCTGGAGTGCCCACTCCTGCTTTAAATCATCAGCAATTTCACTGGTGGTCAGCCACTGGTGGTCAACCCTCCTCCGCCCAAAACAAATATATAAAAAGAAAAGGTTTTCTTTAAAATTGTATTTTCATTGCAAGATCACACAAAAGCTTAAACAACCATATGTTTTTTTCTTTCTAAACCTAGGAGTCCCTAAAAACTAGTCTGTCCACAGATGCAGAAGATGCAGTCACTTATGTTCTGGAAGACACGATGGGGGCCTGAGTTGGAATCTGCTTCTACCAAACTTTAGGCTGATTTCACACAAAAATGCCTATTGCGTTATTTCACGTTTTAGGGGAATAAACAAGGAAAGAGTATTGTTGTGATACTCCGCAAACACTCACTGGGTGCCTTATGACACTTGTTTTTGCAGAGTACTTCTATTGATTTGAATTAGGAGCTTGGTAGGTTTTGCAAGATGCCAAACTTGACAAATGTTGCAGGCAGGATCAAAGTTAAGGCAAAGTGACGTGCTCTAGACAGTTCGCTATTCATGTAAAGAACAGGCGTTTGGGAAGCTTTATAAATGCAAAGCAAATGCCTGTTTTTTTTACACCAAGTGAACAAGGCCCTAGAGCAGGGATGTCCAAACTGCGGCCCTCCAGCTGTGGTGGAACTACGAATCCCATGAGGCTTTGCAAGATACTCACAGCCACAGACATGACTCCTGGAGAGAGATGCATCATGGGATTTGTAGTTTCACCACAGCTGGAGGGCCGGAGTTTGGACATCCCTGCCCTAGAGAGTATGAAAAGCCATTACACAGCTTTGACATACAGGGGGATATCACTGCAATACAGTAATACTACTACTTTAGTAGTTTATTAACAACAACTGTGTTTAGTGGTTGATCAAAACCATGATCAAAGAAGGGTAGCTATTCCACTATACATGAAACGTGCCTCGATTCCCTTATGTCTTGGTGGTGCACATTACCCAAGACTACCCATCTAATATAAGTGAGCCAGTTGTACACTCTAAAGCTTGCCATACACTGCTCATATTTCGGTCAGTTCCTGCTGAATCAGCCAAATTTCAAGCCACGGGTGGCCATGTTGGGACCACCCATTTTCGCAAAGTTGATTAAAAAAATTGAAGGACATTTGTTAGCCAAACAGTGACTGCAACCAATCAGATGCAGTCCCTGTGCAGGTATTCAGGCAGCCCTTGGTGTCGGATGACTGAATACAATAGCCAGTAGGGGATATTTCTACATCACATTTAGCTTGGATGGTAGAATTGATTGATTTCTCTCCTCCTAAAACTCTTTTGGCTAAAGGACAGAAATGTAAATATGTATGGCTAGTGTTGGAGACGATAAAATCAATATCTATGGAAAAGCTTTGACATAAAGGTGTTCCTTGATATCCCAAACTGAATCAGCACGTGGCTGTGTGATATGCAAATGAGGACTATCAAAAGGGTTCTTGGGGCAGGGACACTGATGAATGAAGATCTGCCGGACTGTCTTATCTCCTGGGATAAGCCCGACCCTGCTGGTATTTACCTCCCATACCTGTGTCAGCAATGCAGCATACATGCTGGGATGGGGGCAGGGACATATGATGGAACCTTCTTCCTGTGTAATCATCTGCACAAGCAGGAACAATGGTAACCTTGGTGACCACTTGGACAAGACAAGTCTTTCTGGACTCTACAATTCCTATCCCCACTGACCCCCTCCAAATCCCCTCTCCATTTCCCTTAATTGTAATTAGAATGTATGTATATCCCTGTTTGTAAATAAACCCAACACTTCTTTAAGATTCAGTTGTTCATCAGTAATTTAAGGCACCCCCCAAAGCAGAGCACATTGTACAGCTAGCATTCAACTTTCAGTTCTGGGAGCAAAAAAAGTCTTTAAAAAGGGAAGCCACATCTCTCAGCCACCCACTCATAATTGTCCATGCTGCAATTCATGTGAAGTAGAAGGCACATTAAAAAAAATACGAATAATTATATACAACTGGTTGTGTGTATAAAACACTATTTAAACCCTAACTAGAAGTCATTTAGTATGATACAACACTTTGTATTTTGAACAACTGCCATTTGTTTTTCTTTATTAAATACCTATTTCTACCCTTTTTTTATCCTTTGTTACAGCACAGTGACAATGCATGCAGTCCAGTGATAGCTGCATGGCCTTTCTCAGGGCTGGTGGAGACCTGGGGGACCCGGGGCCGCGTGAACGTGTGTGCTCGCACACAGCGGTTTCTGCGTGGCCATCACATGAACCTTTTTTTGCAACGTGCTGCTTTTTTTTGCAAATGGGGTGTCATTAGAAAACACTGTGCGGTTTCGTGCACCATTGCACGCGGTCACAGATCGTGCAAGTGTGAACCTGGCCTCAGGGTGGGTTTCCTGATGGGGACAACAAGAGAACATGTCTGTGTATTATGTGTTGAAACAGCTAAAACACCCTATACAGGTACTTCCTGTTATAGTGTGACAACCCTCTGCCCCTGTCTCCCCTGTTCTTCTGCATTGTAACCCTGTTGCGTGCTTTTCCAATGGAGACTGCACAGGGTTGAGAAGATGCTCACTGTACAGAAAACCGCCTTGAGAAATGACATCCAAAAGTTGCTCTAATGCATACATGTAGACATGAAGTGGCTGCGAAGAGGCTACCGGCGATTAGCAATGGTAATACGCAATACGCAGTTAGGACTTACAAATACTATTAAGCTGGCCATACACCCTACTATTTTTTCGTTGAACCCACGGGTTGAATGAAAAAAATAGAGCAGATCCCTCCACCAACACTTATGAGCATTGATGGAGGAATCCACCTGCTGTTTCCTTTGTATTCTGACAGCAGCCAGCGGCTGCTGTCAGAATACAGTAAAAGTGCTTTCAGCTGATAGAGGGATGCCGGCCGGAAGGGTGCCAACAGCGGCACCCATTGTGCGAATTTTAGCCAGTTAATGAAGAACCGGCCAAAATTTACATAGAATATATCCATCTTTATTCAGTGTCTTTAGGACTGACATTTTGAACAGGAGCTGTATGAACAGAGCAGCAGGGAAGAATATTCAGGGGAATGAGTCACTGCTGTAAAACATTTGTGGATATAGATTTATATTTCTTTTTTTTTTATTTCAACCAAAAAACAAGATGCCTTTAGCCCTTGCACTGCCAAGCCCTCCAGAACGCTTTACACATCAGATGGCAACACCATTTTTGCAATATTTCCCATTGATTTGATTTTCAACTGCTGCGTTGCTAGCGTTTGTAAAAGACCCCCCAAACCATATATTTTCTGGAAGCACAGGTCCAGTAGAATAAAAAGATGGTGCTACTAAATTTGTAGGCCCTGCAATAATTGCGCAAATGTTTATCCATTTAATATTAAACCGATAAAAATACAAAATTCAAATTGATAAAAGCACACTAAAATCAGTGCACAAAAAAAATTCTGACTAAATCTAAAAAGATAAAAAACTGTATTGAGTTAATAAATAACAAATATTTGTACATTTAAAAAATTGCGACTTTTTCCGAAACGGCAAAAAAATTGAAGAACGCTGTAAAATAAGCGTTTTGTGTTACAAAGCGTTTTTGCGCTGTGTTGGTGTTTGTGTTGTGAGAACATGATACAGGCGTTTTTAATTGCAACACAAGGTATCACAACGCACAGCAATGCGTCACAAAGCTTTGCCATGTGCTGCCACAGTTAAATTAATGTTATCTTAAAAAGAAAAAAATCAAGCACTGCGATGCGTTCTAACAAGGCACTGCAGCGTATAGCACTCAGTACAGAGGCTTCCCATTCATTCAGAAACTGTTGATAGTAAAATATTTAGTATCCACCAGTTTCTGAATGGGGAGAAGCCTCTATAGTGAGTGCTTCTCCCCATTGAGAAAGTCATAAATGAACAGGAAGTGGTGTAAAGCACGTCCTGTTCTTTCATAACTGGGGACACATAGTACTATGAGTCCCCAGTTATTTACAAGCATTGTAGATAACAGATGATCACTCCAGTGTTTGCTCTGCACAGAGGATCGGTAAATATAGAGGATCGGTAAATATCGTGGCTCGGCCACGCACACAGCCGTTGTCACCCTAAAACTCCCCGCTCAACTGCTCTTTAATGCTGCTCGATCATCGTGATCAAGCGGCTCGTTCTTCCGTCCCCCTCGCCTGCCATTTCTACTCGGATCCCTGCGGCCTCTGCCCATACAAGCGGGGGAGAGCAGCGGGGATCAACGGAGACAAAGATACCTGCCGTGAGCAGCTCCAGGCAGGGAGAAGATGCTGCAGATGCCGGGGGGGTTGTGGCATTTACTGAGCTTATAGCAGAATGGTAAATGCCACCGATGTAAAGCATACTGACCTGACAGTATGGGAACAGTTTTTCTGCCGTATGCCTTACGTCGGTGGCATTGAAAGGGTTAAAGTCACATAAAAGGGGTCTGCAGCTCCAACTGCTGGTTGCAAATGAGAATACAAATGAGTATATGGTCATATTTAATTAAGAATTTTTTTTTTGACAGTAATGAACAGGCCTCAGGATTACAGGTCTGTACCACAATATTGAAAATGGTAGGCTTGTTTTACTCTTGGTTATATCAGTGACATCCAGGGCATCCCTATGTGACAAATGAACGGCCCCTTTGGCAACGAAGATGTAAAATTACTTTGGCCCCAGAGGGTAATGTAATGTTTATTACATTACCATATGGCAGTACAAATTTCTATTTGCATATGGGTATTTTGGCACTCTCACTGATTGGAAAACACAAATTAATTTAATATTGCATGCTCATTGTGCGTGAACAAGTCTCAGCGAGGAGAAGAACAATAGCACATTGTTCCGTTTTATAACATATATAAATACAGCCTTTTCCCTATTCCTGAACATTAGGTTTCTTTCGAGTGTCTTATTTTGCAGAGAAAGGAATATGGTTCACGTAGCACCTCTGACCATTGCTGCTGGATTCCAGCAGAATTAATAGGCCATTGTTACAGTTCATTACATACACTCCTTAGAGCACAGTTAGATGCCTTGCATTTATGATAGTTTCCTATTGAAGTGAAACATTGGTGCTTAAACAATCTGCATCACATCTTGAAACAACAAATTAGTGTTTACTATATCTCATTTACACTTACTACATCCATCTTCTTGACCCAACCATGCAGTGACTGAACTCGGAACTTCGTCCATAAGCCTAAGAAAGTGAAAAACAGAAGGATCTTTGGAAATGTATTGATCTGGGAGGTTTGGTTATAAATATACATCGGCACACATTACAGCATACCGTAGATGTTTACTGTAGAAGTCCTTAGTAAAACATATTCAGATTTGATTTCAACAGTACGTACATTTAGAAAAAAATAGCACTTGCTCTGGATTTAAGCTTCAATTACATTTTAGTTAATTAAAAGAAAAAAAAGGTTCAGCTATAATGTTGCATCAGTATATATGTATAGAGTATATGTAGTCTATATTTCAGCAGCATCCTAATGATATCAGAAAATAGCTTCCTGTAAGTTGAAGTTCCATGAAGGCTTACCCCCATTTACAGGAATTGAGTAAAGCAACATGAGCCCAGCTTGATGGGGGTAAGAGGTGGCACTGTGACATGAACTAATGAGAGTTTATGTACATGTATGCATACATATTCATGGCATTGCATGTTGCAGTGTTAAATACTAAGATATCTGGCAGCAATTATGATATACCTTTAAATCTGGCCTGTTGGAATAGTCTAAATGCTGAATTTCTCATAGTTTGACCTGCATGTTGCCATTCAAAGCCTTCAAAAACAAATGAAACCAACACCACATACATTAATGCATGCATTTTTAAGGGAATCGGTCAATAAAGAGCCTATACTGGCCCCTGTTATTTTTACTTTCCAAAGATGAGAATATGCATACATTGATGAAAATAGAAATTGCATACATTTAAAATTTGAGGTCAAACTTTGTAAAATAAATGTACATATGATACCTTTAACACTTTCTGAAAAAAATATTAAAGGGGACCAAAATAAAATAGGACTAGACAAAGTCAGGTGTCAGGCCTGATTCTGCTATCTCTGTGAGGCAGATTGTAAAGGTCTTTATCATTTTTGCCACTCAACTCATGCAGCATGATTTGCAGAAGCATCAGTTAGAGATCCATGGTGGTCAAAATAGGAAGCAGCAACTTCTAAACATTATAGGCCTCTGTAATAAGAGTTGACAAGCACATTGGCAGTCCAAACTGCATTTCAATTCAATGGCATGTGTTTTTTAAAAAGAGTTGTGCAAAGAGTAATTTTGTTGGCTGCTATGGTCAACATCCCTTATTTCTCCTTTGCTCCACATTTAAAGACTATGGGGGGTTATTCACAAAGCTGCCGTTCGGCTATTCCCTCTGGCTCAGTAAGGCTGCTTTCAGCCGTACGTCGGCTGAAATCAGCCGTAGGTCGGCTGCCTTCGGTCAGCCGAACATGCTCTGCATGTTCAGCTGAGCAAAAGTGCAGAAGCACTTCGACTGAGCTGATCCAACATCTGGATCGGCTGTGCCGAAGCTCAGGCAGCTCACTCGCTGCTGTTTGCCCCTTTTCTCATAGGGGCCGAACTACAGTGAGTGAACAGCCAAATGCCGCCGAGCGGCATTCGGCTTGGCTATTCTGCTCGGTATTTCCATGGTACCGAGCAGAATAGAAAATAAGTGAAAAATAAAAAAAATTAAAAAAAAAGTTGAAGAATATTTAAAACATGTAAACAAATGGAAAAAAAAAAAAAACTAAAGATTTTTTTTTTAATAAAAATTTGGCGGAGCGCGCGGTGACAGCCAGTTCCGCCCAACTGTTTCCTATTGGCCAGCACCTTCTACAGTCTTCTAGCAGGTCCCGGCCAATGAATAACAACTGGGCAGAGCCGGGCATGACATCACAGCTCTGCCCAGTTGTTATTGTTCGGCTTTGGCTATTGTGAATAGCCCATACAGCAGCCCTTCGGTTCGACTGAAGCAAAGGGCTCCGGCGGCCAAAGAGAGCCGAAGCTATGGCTGATCCTTCGGCTCTTTAGTGAATAACCCCCTATGTCTGTGAACCTGGGATTTGCCCATGAACAGAAAAGCAACAGGTTTACTTAAGTATGCACGGTTCAAATTTCACAAAGTAGTCGTTTTCAGAACGTTTGTTCGAATATCTATCAATTATTATGGTGAAATCGACAGGTGAAAATGACAATGCTCCCGAAAATTTTCAAAGGAGCATGTTGGAAATTTTTTCTCAAATCGCCAAATTTCTAACAGTCAATGTGGTTTTTGTCAGGAAACTCCATTTATTACAAAATAGAATGTTAAATAGAAGCGAAAATCTGAATGAAATTTCAAACCGACAATCGGCAAGTTTCTGATGCCAGTATCGAATGTTCCAACAGTATTTTTCGTACAAACATGTATTGCACTCCCCTTCCTCCCACTTGACAGCAATGGCGCTTGGCGACTGGTCACCCAGGCTCAGTCACATGATGGTAGGAGAAGAAGGCTTCATTTATCTATTTATTGTTGGTATTTATATAGCGCCGACAATATTACGCAGCGCTTTACATAGTTGCACATTCACATGAGTCCCTGCCCTCAAAGAGCTTACAATCTAAGGTCCCTATCACACATGCATACAGGAGCCAATTAACCTTCCAGTATGTCTTTGGAGTGTGGGAGGAAACCGGAATCCCCAGAGGAAACCCATGCAAGCACGGGGAGAACATGCAAACTCCTGGCAGATAGTGTCCTGACCGGGATTCCAACCAGGGACCCCCAGTGCTGCAAGACAGAAGCTCTAACTACTACGCCACTGTGCTGCCCACTTTGCTAAAGTGAACCTGTTTGACATAAAGTGTTCCTGAGCTTTTGTCCATGTAAAGTTAAACTAGCAATAAAACAAAATCAATCAGTAACAGATTGTCACCACTACACCTCTGCCCATACTCATCTCTAACAGCTTTAGTGTCCTGCTGGCAAAAGATTCATAACATGCCTGCAAATTTTTTTTTAACGAGAATTGTTCGATATGTTCCATTTTTGTGCGCACTTTATCCTTTTCCAATGATATTCACTTTTATATGCACATATGTATTATTCATGGTAAGAGGCTTAAATTCATACATAATAAGAGCGACGCAGAAAGAGTCATTCTGATTCTTCTAACTCGGTGCATTTAATGTTGAGATTACCATTTTTTAAAGCCATATAAACAACAATGGGAAAAAGGTTAATCTTTGAAGTTTAGTTCCTTCTATTAATTTTACACATTTCATGGATGAAATCCTTACAAAATGAAAACTTCAAGCTAACCAAGGGAATGCATTCCATATTCAAACACTTACAGCTTCCCTACCTGAAGTGGATGAGGGGCACATTTGGAAGAGATTAAACTTGTCCCCTTTAGGCTGGCAGAGCACACCTGAGTCTCTTCTTCATTGACCAAATTAACTATTTAAGTATTCCAATAAATGTAGTAAAAAGAAAACTGGATCAGGTAGATATATGTTCACAGTTACATAAAAAATGATAAGCCAGTTCTCTAATCCAGAACCCCATACCAGACATGATACAAAGTCCTGACAAAGTCTTGAGGGCAGGGACTGACCTTTATCTACTGAAGCCAATACAGAATAGCAAGGGTAGGCAGTCTTGGAATTTCAGCTGTTGTTAATTTACAAGTTCCATGAAACATTGCATTAATCTGACAGCCACATGCATGACTCCCAGAGTTTTTCCGCAGCTGGAGTGCTGAGGTTGCCTACCCCTGCAGGGCAACTTGGTTAGTACCGTGATAGTGAAGGGACAGCAGCTCTATGATAAGTTCATCTCTACAATCTCTTCATCCATTCAGCAATATTAATTTGCTAGATTCACAGCACCAAGCAATGCAATAAACAATGACTCAATGTTGTCTCTTCTTCTCCCAGCCTGAATGCAAATGTGCAGGGTATTGCAAAAACACATTTAAGTAGGGATGCACAGATACTTTTCGAGTACCAGTGCCGATACTTGGCATTTTCATGAGAACTACCAGGATTGCAGTGGTTGCAGCTGGGACCTGGCTCTGGCACTCCACCACTGTCCTGAAATCATTAGGCTGTATTGGCAAGTACCAGTACTCGTACTCGTAAAACTGGTATCTGTGCATCCCTTTATTTATATTTATAAAAACAAAATCATACATTAAAACAGAGATGTACAAATCCCAGGAGCTCCGTGTGCTCCTTACAAAAAACTGGTATCTGTGCATCCCTTTATTTATATTTATAAAAACAAAATCATACATTAAAACAGAGATGTACAAATCCCAGGAGCTCCGTGTGCTCCTTACAAATGACAGCTGCCTCCTAATTTTTGAATTTTTCTCTAGTGTAGTCCTGGAGCTCAAAAGTATCTGTACATGTACTCTTACTTGTACCGTGTACTGTACTTGGTATCTGTGCAACCCTACATTTAAGCAATTAACTTCATATCATGACAATTCTTTCAAAATAAGGGTGTTGATATCTGTGTACATTTCCACGTTACACGGAACTTCAGGCAAATGAACACAGATTCAGTTGTGTATTTATTAAAAAAAGCTAAGTGGAGTTTAAAAGCAACTATTACAAATACCTGAAACTGCCTTGATATTCCCTACAGCAGCCTTGGGAGAGGGGCCAGTACTAGGAGCCAAGTGGGCTCTGCTCCATGCATATATGCTGGCAGAAAACATATTGGCATGTGGAGAGAGGGCAACTTCATCAGTGTCCTACTACCCCTTCACTTATCAGTCAACAGGCTGGGGGGGGGGGGTGTTTTTGAACAAGAGTCTGCTGGAG